TATTATAAATAAAATTAGTTTTATAATTAAAACTAATAAAAATATTAATCTTATAATATTATTTTTGCTATGAGAATTTTATTAACTTTAAAACTAATTTTTATTAATTTAAAATTTTTAAAATAATTACAGTAATAAAGCTTTGTAGTAGGCCCATGCCCACCTAACGTGGCCCATCATCACACCGAATTAATTATTAATGCCATAGGGCTCTTTCCCTACATAATATTTTATATTATAATAGCTATTAGTTTATATTGCTTCACTTTCCCTTCAACAAATCTCGTGCATCTCATGATAAGATAAATAAAAAACAGACAAACTGACAGATGTTGCTGCATATTCACAAGTAGGAATGCAAACGGATCAGATCATATTCAAATCAGGGTAATTCGAATCTAATCCGATATTATTTATGTCAGATTCGATTCAATCCAAAGATCCGGTTGAATCTAATAAGCTTCAATTTGAATTCAAATATTATCAGTAAGTCAGATCTTAGAATTATTCGATTAAAATTTTTTTTTAATTAATAAATTATTAAACACAGACAGAATAATTAATGACACAAGACAAAGAGCTCTCAAGCTTGAGCTCTCAAGCTTGAACTCTCAATTCTAAAGTCTGACTCAACCATCATTTATACGTGTTATTTCTTACTGTATTTTATTATTGAATTAGAACCATTCATAAAATAAATTTACATTAAATTAAAAAAAAAGAGAGAAAAAAACCTGATAACCACGAAAATGAGCAATAGTTTCTTTTAGACTTTTATAGAAGAAGATTTGTTCACCCCTGGCCCTATGTATGAGGTGGGCAAATTTGAATTTTAACATTAATTTGGGTCCAATCTAGATTCATGTGAGCTATGTGGTATCCTCTCACCTCCCCTGTTTCTTTTTTTTATTATTATTATTATGTCTTGCTTTGTGTAAGTTTTGTATTGGTTCCACATTTTTAATACAAATTTGAAGTTTTGTATTCGTTACTTTACCCATAGAATTTGCAAGATGACACCAATAGCAAGTAGTATATAAAATGTATCAACAAAACCATGAAGAAATGCTTTACATAACTGCATATTTAAGCAATTTCTTCTATCAAATGCTGGTCATGAATCAGAACCCATTCAATCCAACGATCAATATCAAGCATTTAAACCAGAGACGATTAGTAGCAATATTTTCAAACCGCTGTTGACCTGGACGGTCAGACCATTCGGCCCGAGAACCGTTCAGGCAAACGGTTCCATTTTAACTCAAATTCGGCCTTTGATCAAAAACTGTTGAATTGGTCAATAATCCGTTAATCCAAACAATTGAACCGTCAACCTACTCGACCCTTTCAATGGTTTTTGGCTATTTTTTTTTAATTATTATTTTTAATTTTTTTTCTTATCAGAACAAGCCATCAATTCAAACTAGACAGTCGAACCATCAACCCAGAAATTGATGGTTAGAATGGTTCCGATTTCGGGTCATTTTTTAAAACATTAATTAATAGAATAGTCGAACAAGCAAGAGAACATTAAAGATAATCCCCAGCGACATTGTTTATGTATGAAGTGAACACACATAAGGAACATCCAAATGAGACCAACTTCAACAAACTAAAAAACTCAATCATCAAATAAAGCACCTTAAAAATGTAATTCAAGAGTTGAGAATCAACGATGGGATGAAATGTGACAGTAATTGTCACAATTGTTGGATCAGCAATGAAACCAATTAGACCTTCAAGCGAATAAGTAAAAGAATTTATCAGTGAAATCAAAGGAATGGACGACCTACACATGAAAGACGAAATTTTATCCAAATTAACTAGATAATGATCAGGTTTGCTAGGGTTTAGGGTTTGACTATGATACAGGAACGAAATGATATTGGAAAAACTTTTAACCAATGAATCAGTATCATAAAAGTGGAAACCAATCAGGAGATATTTAACATGGGGGGGGTTTGATTGGTCAAAGCTCTTCTAGTTTCATGTCTTTTCCGTAGGGGTGCAACCTTGGTAGGTCTAACATGAGCCCAACCTAAATTTTTGCATAGATTGGGCCTGGATTTTCGAACTACGGGTTAACCCTGGACTAAATTGCTAGAAATATGTGTATTATATTTATATAAAAATATCTTTCTACGATGCCAAACATGATACCAGAAGAATTTTTTACCAATCAAAACCATTCCATGAATTTTAATAAATTTCACCTGATTGGTTAACATGTTAATATACAGGTTAATTGATCACAAATTTTTTGGATATCATGGTTGAACCCTTTTTTAATTGTATATAAAATAATTTATATATATATATATATATATATATATATGTATATATATATATATATATATACATTTGTAAATCAAATCTGTACATATTTTCAATTAATTATATTCTTAAATTGGGCCAAAAGGCTCAATAACAGATGACTATGTAAAAATAAGTACATAAATTCTTTCAAACCCGCCCAGGCCCAATAACAGAAGACTACGTAAAAGTAAGTACATCAATTCAGAGAAGAGTTCATTCTCTTGAATTTATTTTGTCGTCTGTGGTCTGTCTGAATCTCCCATAGAAACCAAACTGAAAACGTAACCGGCTCTTCATTCTGGGTGGCAGTCAATTTGACCGATGGGTTAAACAGTTCAGTCCATGATTTTCTTAAACTATAAATAAATTATATAATAAAAATTTAAAAACAGATAATACTTTGGAAGAAACAAAAAAGATAGAAAAATTAGGGCATGACTAAAAAACAATTAGAAAGAATCAATATCTTACTAACCGGGTCAAATGATTAAGCAGTTCAGCCAGTTGGATGAACACTCACCAGATCATTGATAGAGAATGGTTTTTTCATGAATTTTTTGATTGAGCAGACCAAATGATCAAATCCGAGTATCCGACAATTGGACCATTTAACCCGTGACCCAATGATAAAAATGATTATATGACTGACGCTGCACTTGACATTCTCACTTCTCAAAGAGTTCACACAATAACACCACCATTTTGCTTTTTTGGTAAGGAAAGAGATCCATTGCACAGAAAGAAGCTAAGGATACAAAAGAAGACCCCTCGTGTTGAGGTATGTGTTGTATCTCAGGAGGAGGGGTCTAGGGGTTAGAATATAAGGTCTATTTACATTGGCCCTTTTAGCTATATGCGCTGGGCTTACATCGTTCCTGTTTACATACATAATTTTAAGATCCACAAAAAAAGAGAGAAGGAATTTAATATGCTCGATCAGCGACTGTTCATTCCACCTTGTGTTTACTCTAGTTTCCTTGAGTTTCTGCAGGATCTCCTTCGCATCTAACAGAATGATGGCATGGTTGATACCCAACAAGATAAGTCTTCTCAGGCCTCTGATGATTGCCCAGAGCTCAGCTTCTGAGGAGTTAATGGCATTACACTGTTGTCCTTCTGCAAAGCAAACATTGTGTGTGTAAGAGACTATATATATAAACCTGTGGAGGTTGAATTCATTGTTGGATTCCATAATCCATCAACTATCGCAATGGAGTGAGATGCGAGGTAGATTGTGGGTGGGTATTTCATTCTGTTCAGATTGGATTCGAGACTGAAACCATTTTTGAGCTTTTGTATTTGGAACATAAAGGTTGGATTTTCTTATGACTTCAAGGGGGTTCGGGGGCTTTCCTTTGAAGGTTACTTCGTTTCTATGATCCCATATAGCCCTCAAGATGGCTAGTAGTCTAGCCAAGAAGAAGTCTAAGGCTTTTCTTTTCAGGGTTCCTTTTCATCCACCAGAATAGGAAGTATGATGTTCTTGAGAGGGTAAAGGCTTCTAGGTTGAAGCCAATTTGTGCTAATAGTCAGACTGTCCTTGCTAGGGGACAATCGAAGAAGAGATGTGCCTATGTTTCCGGTGCAGTGCCACAGAGGACACAAGTGGAGTCCCCCAAGTATCTTAGGAACCAAATTGACTGCTTCGTTTTTACACCATTCATTAGGACTTTCCATCCAAAGAGTTGGCATCGAAGGGGGGCTTTTGTGGTCCATAATTTTGACCACCTGATTTGTTCTCAAGAGGGACCCACAGTTTCAGAGTATGAGAAGCTTTTGTAAGCCGCTCAAACTGAGTACTCCCCATCCTTTGATCTTTTCCAAAGAAGCTTGTCCTCTTAGCTTTGTGGGGTTAGAAGGATATTTAAGAAAGTTTCGACTGATGGATCTGTGAAGACATGGTATAACAGTTGGGAGTTCCAAACCCCCTGAGAGAAGGCGAAGTCTTTGACCATCCAATTTCTGACATCTGGGTCATGTAGTTGTCGGGGTTGGGGTTTATTAGAGGGAAGACTTAGGATCCAAGGATCATTCATGAGAGTTGATGCGAGTTCCATCCCCCACTTTCCAATAGAAGTGTGGTGTGAAACTGTTCCTGATACTTGGGATGTTTCGCCACTAATGTGAGTGAGATCTCCCTGGTTTGACTTTAAAGATGGACTTGTTCCTTGGGTATTTTGCCCGAATTTGCTCCTTCCACAGGTTTCGCTCTCCTGTTAGCGACCTCCAAAAATGTTTTGCAAAAAGAGCCTTGTTCATTGGTTCTGCCTTCCTGCTCCAAGGGATATTGTGGCCTCGTTTGCTTGTTTCACCCTGCCACCAGAAATTTCGTTGTAGTTGGTCTCAACTCATTTACCCAATCCAACGAAGCCGCAGCTTTAATAAATAAGTTTTTAAGCGAGGTCTAACAATTTGCACGTTCAAGCACATTTCAATAGATTTAAGGTCCATTTGATTGAAATTAAAATCAGAATGATCCATTCCAATTCCAACCATTTAATTAGATAAAATTGGAATCTAATTCCCATCCCTGGTGGAATGGGCATTCGACTATTTATTCCGACCAATTATGAATTTCTTATTCTAAATTCGATTCCAGGAGATTGATGAACCATGTGCTCAAACAACTTTGGAAAAGCAAAGTTGAGAAGGACAAATTTGAAGTTTTTCAGCAGGCAAACAAAGATCAACCATGTGCTCAAACAATTTCCATGTCCATGAAACATCTGAATTGATGACCATACAATGTTGAAAATCAGAGATCTCAACGGACATCTTTTGCCTTGACCGATTTTTCTCATGGCCCTTACATTAATAAAAAGAAGTGTGGGGGGCCGGGCCTGGGGCAATCACACCCATTAAAATATGTATGATTGATCCATAAAAACAATATTGAATTTTCCGCTTGAAAATAAAAGAAAAAAATGTGAAGATCTCAATGGAAAAGGTGTGGCCGATCTTGGGGGAAATCTCGAGCAAGCATAACCAAACCAAGCGTCAGAATCTAAAGCTGGGATCTACGTCCATCGCCCAAGCAAATTTGGCGAGAAGAGACTTGTTGAATATCTGCAGAATACAAGGAAGAATAATTAGCAACGGATATCCTTGGACAAGATAGCTTTTGTCCTTTTGGATCAAAAGATAGTTTATCCTTGGAGGATCAATAACAGCTACAATCAATTCATTAAAAGAACCCCCCCCCCCCCCACCACCTTCTCAATGGGGACTTCATGGCGCTTGCACCATGCAACGGATATCCTTGGATCAAGATAGTTTATCTTCGACGTGCCCAGTGCCACGGTCTTTAGATCCTCTTTGATCTGTTTATCCCTTTCCATTTTCTCAATCTTAGCATTTGCCTGGGCAATTTTCCTCTCCAACCTGCATGCAAGCAAAACAATAAATTTGCAACATAACTGCAACAGAAAAAAAAAAAAAAAAAAGCTCCTCGTTGGGCAAAGGCACGAGTTATTACGCTTCAGGGGTCAAGTTCCTCTTTGGCTTCCCATCAGCACCCTTCAAAGGGGGCTTCCCTTTCTTTGCTCTAGCCAAGTCCGTTTTGAGTTCATCCAACAATTCCTACTCGGAACATGAAAACAAGCATGAACTTCCAGAGTGCAAACAGAAGCCACTTGGACATGAACATCCAGCATTGAGAAGGATATCACAATAGTTGGTTTAACAAGGGGGAAGAAAAGACCATATCACAATATGCCCATCCCTAACAAACAGTACATCCAACACAATGGCATGCAGATTGTGCTTATAAATTAAAGCTTATTTACATTGCCCTTCCTTTCATTTCCAGTGCATAGAATAAGGTAAGAAATACCTTTAGCTCCTTGATTTTATCATCCAATCTATTCATTTGAGCACTGTGGGACTTCGAGACACTACGTTGATGGTTGCATATGATTGCAACCTGCAAAATCATGGAAAGACAAGAAGACGATAGTGACCATAAGACAAACCCCAATTTGAACTTTTAATAATGAGAATTTTTATTTTCTTTCAGCAACAAAAGCTATCCTTACTTCTTTGTTTGCATGTTGATATACAGTAATTTTTTCTGCAACATCACCATCCTTGGTTTCTTTATTCAACTGTCAAAAACCAGAATAACACCATTAAGAATCATCAAAAGTTACAAGAATTACAGAAAACTAAGGATAGCAACCACACCAAGAAAGGAAAAAAAAACTATCACCCACAGGCCCCCTTGTGCCAGAAATCTAATGCCCTTCTATATATGTAAATTTTAACCTTGTTTGATTTATATCTCAAAATCAATCGATGCCATTTCCGATGCATAATGATTTACTACCTCTGGTCTAAAATAATTCATTGGAAAGATCATTGCTTTGGGTCACATCATTTATATATGACCATATAATGTCATACATCACATATAGTCATATACACTAAGTTGTAACATAAAGTACAGAACTCCACAATATATTACCACAAGTTATATGGCATCCACTTCTTTTTATTTCCTTTGAAGGTTACACAACGGGGAGTAGCCCATCCCCCAACCCAGGTGCAGGCGGGATTCAATCTCAAGTCTCCGCTATGACCATGAGAAGACGACCACCTTACCAACCAGCTGATTGGCAGCTTGCTATATGACATCACTTGTTACTCGGCTCTATAATTTTCTGATGAAGAAAACAGAGAGAGAGAGAGAGAGGGAACTCTATAAATTCTATTAAGTTCAGTTAATTGAGAATTTTATTAAGAGCTAGCATTCCTATGCATAATGACCTATGACAGATACATTCAATTAACAAAATTAGATTTTTCATGAATGGAGGAGATGATCTCAACTCCAAAAGAATGCCAAGGATATAAACCCAAGGGTTACAACCACAAACCTGCTTAAAAAATGATTTCCTAACATTTTCCTAGAGAAAACTTCTACATTAATTATTTTTAAGAACCAGACTATTTATTATTAGATTAAAATGGCTTGGATTCTCTTCACAAGGAATGCAAGCATTATATGATATAAAAACCTGAGTTCAGGAGTTTTGCATCAGGAAACTTCCTACTAACCATCCCATCTAAAGTGATTGACGCATTGTATGTACGAAAAACTTTGGCTGTGAGACCAGGCATGAGTTCCTTCAAATGAGCATTCAGCTTACTGGTATCTAGCTTGTCAAAAAGATCTTCCCCCTCCTTTTTTCCTGAAAAAGACATCAAGAAACATTAACCATGAAATCACTCTGACCAGGTAACAGCTGACCCCATATAGCTGGGACAAGGCTTAGATAATGATGATCATTCTGACCAGATAACAGGGTCAAGTACTCATCAAAAAATAAAAACACACACAGATAATAGTGTCAAATAGATAAGGCCCGCATACCTTCTTTGAATTGTCCAATTGCTTTATACACAGGAAGCTCAACTTCAACAGTGTTGAAATATCTAATGGAATCTTTACCAAGGAAGTCAAACTGGATGATGACAGAAAAGGAGAATAAAAAAGGGATCCTCCCATCATCATTTCCAGCAAAAAAGCAATAAATAGCTAGAATCAATCAGCAACAAAAAAAAAATATCAGGGATAGACCAACTCATACCTGTAACTTGTTTGGAGGGATTAATTCAACATTTTCTACTTTTAGTGTACAGCAACCAACCGTATCGGCCTCATCATCGTCCTGAAAATGGTAATCAGTTACAATTTGCAATCTTGGATCATTTGTAAAAATAAATAGTGCAAAGCAACATACCTTTGGAAAATTGAGGAACTTTATATAAGTTAAATGAACCCAAATAGTTGGCATAACGCATTACTTAAAAATTAGGACTCAGCTAGCAGAATGCAGATCTAAAAGAAGTTGCAGTGGCTCTGTAATATCTCATAATCTTCTAATGACATGCAGCATATGGGCATTGGCTGCCTTGTGTTTCTTCTCTAGGACTAAGATCTAAGACACAAGGTACAAAGTAATGGAGATAACAGCTTTGTCTCTAGTTATTTTGGTTGTAACCATAGTTGTCAAGGCGATGCCTAGGCAACAAGGCACCCTTGGAGGCTCACCTCGCCTAATCGCCAAGCAGTTTTCTGTAGTGTGTTATAAAAAACTTTTATATTCTTAATTTTTTGAGGTTATAATTATAAAATAGACATTTTTAAACTAAAATATTCATTTTGTGTGTTTATAATACTAATTTCTTTTTATTATTTTCTTATTTGTTAGAGTTTAATCAACACAAACATTGGTAAATGCTGTATTAAACCCTCAAAGACTTCAAAACCTGAACCAATAAGAAAGGAAGAACATAAAATGTTGTCCAATCAACACACTTTCTTCTTTTTCTTTACTAATTCTGTGTGTTTGTATACTAATTTCTTCTTCTTCTTTTTCTTCCACCTTTTCTTTTCTTCTTCTTCTTTTTCTTCCACCTTTTCTTTTCTTCTTCTCCTATAACAGAAATAGGGGTTCAGCCCCTATATTCTTTTAATTTTCTTTTCTTCTTTCTTTTTCTTCTCATGAATATGTTGGAATATGTTGATTTTCTATACTTTAACATGAAGTTTATACTTTTCTTATGAAAATTATGGATATTTATTAAGGAAATATGATTATGGAACCTAGGGAACTACCCTAGGATACATGTTTTTATTTAAAAGAAACCATCAGCTAGGTGACGCCTAGGCGACAAGCCGCCCTCCTGTCGCCTAGCCTCGCCTTGGCGCCTTGAAAACTATGGTTGTAACTTCAAAGTCTTGCAGAAAGAGTAGGAAATGCAACCATATAAGCACTCTAGTAGATTACAAACATAAGAAATCAAAATTCAAGAAGAACAAAAAGGTGTACAGAGCAGTGCAAGAGATAATGGGATTTGAAGGTGCAGAGGAGAAAAAGGAAGAGCTCAGAAGCTGTAAAAACTGTTGAGCAACAAGGGAACAACAGATTTTGGTCTTGTGAGATTGAAGAAGCTGTGCTGGAAATAATCAGAAGCCTTGAACTTGTGTCCATTAAAGATGAGAAAAGATAGAATTATACTCCATGGCAACAGAGACTAGTGTATTTGCTACCAAGGGGCCTAGAACCCACCATAAGCAACTCAACCCAAGCTCTTTGCCTGTTGAGACTGGCAAAGAGTCATAGTAGGAGCATGTGAAGGAGATAATAGGTGGTTGGCCAAGGAAATGGCATCATGGCTTTTTTTCTGGTGCCCACTCCAGGCACTCTTACCAGAAATGAAGATCGAGTAGAATGAATCTGATAATGGTGATGATAGAGAAGACTGAGACAATTGAGAAGATGAGATAATAAAGAACAAAAAAAGGTTGCAGGAAAACCTTTCATTGAAAATCAACGGTAGGGAAAGACCACGAGTAAGGAAGAAGAGAAAGAAAGTGTGATCTCTCGACTGATACAAGCCAAAATAGCCCAGAAAGTGTGAGGGAAGAGGAAGGGTCAGGTTTTTAATCACTAATCATTCAATCTAGATGGTTGTTCCAGTGAACAGAAAAAGGTTTATGCACATAAATGAGCAATAACAAAACAGACTGCTAATATCAGGCACATAAGCTACATACCTTTTCCAAAAGTTAATAATAAAATAATAATAATAATAATAATAAAGCATGTTTAACTACATATTACCTTCTCATTGCCTGCCCTTAGAGCCAGCTTATCAATAAGATAAGTGGCAACAGCTATCTGACGCTTGGCGATGTCTTTACTCGAAAAATCTCTTGTATAATTTGCTCTGATATCCTTAATGTAGTCCTGAGTCAAAAACGTGGATCACAATCATTATGAGCACAAAGCATGAAGAATGGACTTAGTATTAATTTGCACAAAAACATGAAGATGCATGGAGACTTCACCTTCAGTAACCTTGCCTTCTCATATTTCTCCTTGTCGCTTTGCCCTTTCAAGGAACTACTAGCTGCCAAGAAGACGTACTTGAATTCCTTTGGATTAATTGGGTCATTCCAAAATGCTAACCATGTAACAGTATTATCATGCTTTACTTCCTTCCATCTGCAAAAGTGCCACAAGATTTCAACATGGCTAAGACAAAATAACCTAAATCTTATTTACCATAAAAGGTTAATTTGAAAATAGACATTGCAGAACCTTTCACCAGGAATTGGGCATTCGGGAACTGGGGCACCCTTTCCAATGTTTATTGTGATATCATTTGGACGTATGCGTCGTTTCAACTTTCCCATCTGAAATCCATGAGTCAACGATCAAAAAGGATTCCATGATAAAGAATTCAACAAGTAATGTAAATACTTCTAACATCCCAGCAAAAAACCACCAAATATCTACAGAATCTATTAGACAAAGTGCTCTAGATTATCATCTATAGAAAATATAACACAAAAACACCTTTGGATGCTCGCCACGGCCTCGAAATAAGCCAGGTGGTTCAACTCTGAAATTTCCAACCTGAGATTAAAATATGAACAAAAAAGTCAGCAAGTATCAATAAACACATGCATTTACAAACAAGAAAAGAATACACCTAAGCAAGTGCATCAGTACAGTACCAATAAAACATACTGTATGCATAAATATAAGCTATATATACAAACAACTTAAGAGAACCAATCTTATTTTCATGGATATTAGCTTCATGGCATTATTACATTATAGTCTATCAGAACTCACAAATAACCAAGAAAGTTGCATATGCAATAATAGAAAAAACAACAATTGCTGCTTCAAAAGCATGTTTGAGATGCAATGAGTTAGAGAAAAGAGGACATAATGCCACAAATGTTTAAGCACAATGCCACAATGTGTTATTTCTTTGTACACTATATACCATGCATGACAATGAAGTGTTTACACAATCATGTAAGCAATCCATTTAATATGCTAAGGTCTACCAAAACTGATAAATGTTAAAAAGGAAATGCCCCTTCCTAACTAGAAAATTGGGGGATGCAAAGAAAGATATCATGCCATTTACATAAAAAGATGGGAAGATCTGCAGGGATAAAAGAAAAACAAAATAAAAACAATGCATTACGGAAAAGAACTAATATCAAATTATTGTGGATATCACTTGGCACTAAGTGGGTTCATGTATTTCTATGCATTAAATATTTTTTTGATGAATGTTTCTACGCATTAAATATTAGAAATCATGTGTTTCTTTTTTACTTTTTTTTTAAATATGTCTAAGATCTTAGCTAGAAAAAAAAAAGACTATGAAGCTAGAATCTGATCCACTGAGACCCGAACTAGTACTGTAAAGGAAAATACCAAAAAAAAAAGAGGGAAAAAAACTAATATTCTAACAAAAATCATGCCTTGACAGCTCTCCCCAATAAAGGAAACTGGCCTGGGTCCTTGATGCAAGGTGCAGGAGCATTGCTACCTGACTGCCCCGAAAATCCTCCCCTTAATTCACTACACTCCCCATGTCCACAACCTCTCATCCTCTGCTGGCTTCAGGAATTTGTTTATGTTAATTGACTTACAAACTTTCTCTTCCTTCTCAAGGCTATCCTTCTTAAGTTTGTCCTTCTCAAATTTCAGCTTAATGTAAAGGGTCTCCACCTTTTTCTCAATATATTGCATCAACTCAAAGTCTTTGTCAAGGACAACTTTTCTTTCCTCAGATTTAAATGCTTCCAAAGCCTTCCTCTTTTCAAAGCGTACTTTCACTGATTCTTCAAGGGCCATTTCCCTATCCTCTTCTTCTGGCTGTCTGTCAGAAGCATCCTAGTTTGTGCCTTGTTCAATCTTTCCCTGTTCAGATTCCATGTCCTTCGGTAATTCAGTAGTCACAGGAACATCCCATTCACCAGATTTCTCCTCCTCTGAACCATTCGGAGCCTCACCCCTACAATACCTTGCCCTGTCACGATCACCAAACCAGCCCTCTCCACCCCTTAACCCACGACTTCCACCACCATAACCCCTTCTTTCACCATTCCCATTCCAATTTTCATTCAAGAAATGCCTATTGTCATTTCTGAAAGGACGATTCTCGCTTCCACAAGTTTTTCCCTGAGACTCAGTCCCCTATGCCTATTGTCATTTCTGAAAGGACGATTCCCACTTCCACAAGTTTTTCCCTGAGATTCAGTCCCCTCTTCCCAACCATCACCACCAATCTGACCCTGGGTTTCATTGGCACCAGCCTGATCTTCATTTCCAAAACCACAATCGTCATTAAACCCTCTTCCTCGGCCACGCCCTCTGCCTCGCCCTGGGTTATCAGTATTGTTTTTCCACTAGCTGTGCCAAAGCCACCACAACCGATGAGGTTCTTGTCAATGAAGCCACACTTCTTCGACACCCCCTCATATTCACCTGCATTCCACAGGCCAGAACAGTTGCTGCTTCATCCACTGCCTTAATTGCTCCATGTGCACCCTAAGCTTCTTCATCTATGTCTCCAGTGCCAACTTTTGGATTTTCCACTGTCAATAGCTGTTGGTTCAACTAGAGATGTCAGTGAATCAGGTTAAGTAGTAAACCCACCTTGACTTCACTCTGTTTGGACAGGTTTGGGTCGGTCTTAAGTTTCAGGTTGGGTACGGACCTGCAAAAACCCAACCCACTAACCATGGTGGCATAGTTCTCAAGGCAACTCCTAGGCAGGTAGGTGCTTTTTGGGCTATATAAAAGCTGTTGTAAGTTTTACATATTTCTTATGTTGTTTTATATTAAGTCTAATATAAACATAGGCATGATGCACTGTATCATTATTTTTATTTGTTTCATAAGATAATATATTTTTTATTAGTTTCTTATTTTATTAAGGTTTCTGATATATAGGTATTTGAAGACAGAAACGAGTTCGAGAGATATCCTCATCAGGGTTCTGCCCCTTCTTTTTCTTTTTCTGGAAGAGCAATTCTTCTTCATCCAGTTTTTGAACTAAAACAGGGAGCCCATCCCATCTTCTCCATCATTTTTTGAGATTTTTCTTTCATCTTTTCTTTCTTCTAAGACAAGAATAGGGGCTCTGCCTTCTTTAACTTCTATTTCAATGGCAAAAATAGGGGCTCATCCCCTTTTTGTTCTTTTCTTCTTTTTGACATTAAGCAACACCTAGGCAACCAGGTGACTAAGCACTCCCCCTGTCGCCTAGGTTCACCTTGGCACCTTGAACATTATGCATAGTGGCATTGAAAAACTTTAAAAAAAAAAAATAGCCTTTATCAAGGATAGTGGCACAGCTCATGGGACGGGATGGATCAAGTTCAGTAACCTTCTTCCAATTAGTCAGGTCAGGTTTGATTAAACCAAGCCCATAACCAACTTGTTGGCACCCCAAGGTTCAATCAAGCCACTTTAGTCTAGTCTTCTAGTAAAGCTATGCCTCATAAACTCAAACTCTTGCTCATTCTCCCTCCTGAGTGGGTGGTGAGGGAGGTCAGAAGTTTATGGTGTGGGCTCCTGAGTTCAAAACCTCCTTACACAGGAGTTTCTCCAAGTTAGACAAGAATGTTACATGTGATTTGGTGTTGCTTCAGACCCTATAATGTATAAAGGTGTTTCAATTGTAAATATCTTTCATGGGATTCTCATCATTCAACTCCCAAGAAAATTGATATTCCACGAGATAGTTTGGTGTAAAATGAAGATACCATATCAAGGAGATCTATCAAAAAAATAAGATACCATATCAAGGAGAGCAAATCCCCCAGTCCATGAACACAACAAAACTTTCAACATTGCTAGCACCATGATGAATGACATAGTAGTAGATATTGATCATGTTTCTCCAAGAATTGAGTACTGGACCAAAGATGATATCATCATCAGAATTCATACCATATTTACTGCAAACAAATCAAAAACCAAAGGCTACTACAATTTGAAAATCATTACCAATGTTTTAAGACTCAGACTGGACCAGATAGTCGGACCATTCAACCCAGGAACCGGAAGGGAATCTGTTTTTTTTAAACCACCGATTTTCATTTTTTCTGAAAAACTGGAAGAACCGGTCAAAACCCAGCAGAACCATTAAAAACCAGCAAGGTTTCAACGATCCAAACAGTTTCAACAACCCACCCAGGCCACCAAATGCACATATATTTTAAAATGCAAATAGAAAGACTTGAACCTCAGATCTCATAATTGCATGTGTTGACATCAAACCATCAAGCCATCATTCATTTTGAGCTTAATTATGTGTCTTTAATATATATTGATTAAATATGAATATATTTTTAATAAAACACAGGTAATGAGACTTGAATATATTTTTAATAAAACACAAGTAATGAGACTTGAACCTGGTCATTTAAGCTAAAAAGCAGCACCTTAACCATCTAGCTGCCACTAACATTTACGTTATAAATACGAAAAAAAATTATTTTGTTTGTTGTGACTTGCAATCAAACCGTTTGACCTAGTGATCAAACCATTTGGCCCATGACCCAAAAGACTTTCCAGTTTTGTGTCTGTTCAAAGTCTAAAAACACTGATTTTTTTGATAAATGATTGGTATACTATTAAGCATAGAAGAAGTGTACAATACCAATTCTTAGAAACATACTGATTGAACACTTCTTAAAAACACTGATTATTACCATATACCAATTCTTAGAAACATGTTTGTTTCTTAAATACAATGCTTTTGGGATTCCCCTTTCTTGATTACCAACTATAACCCCCCCTAAACACATCCCCCATAATATCAAGTGAGCTTTCTTAACTATCAACTTCTATAACCCTTTTTATGAGGCTGCTCTGCACCCTTGTTTCTCTTTCCCTTAATAAAATCTGTATGATGAAAACAGGTATCCAATTAGAATTCCCAGAGTGAAAACAGAGATGGTAGAAGGTCGCTCTTCTTCCATTCAACTCAATATCAGTCAACATCATCATTCCCACCGACAAAGTTAATGCCAAGGTACCTATACTTTAAATAACCTTTCAAACTCAAAATCACTCCACTTGAGATTAATTTTATCAAATAATAACTATTTAAGTATAATCCTTCTAACCAATTTACTAAAAGCCATAAAATCAAAATAACAAGACATAAAAATCCAAAGTTCAGTGAACCTTTTCCTTGACACCATCAACAATAGCCCACATGTACTTTTCCTCTTGTTTTAATTTCTCTTCTTTCAGTGCCTTCTTTTCCTGTAATGACAATGAGAGTTGAGTCAACAACCAAAAAGAAAAGAATCAACAACAAACCATTTCTTAACTATAAAGCACAAAATAGAATGTTGGCATCAGAATCAATTACTACAAAGGAGTCAGTTTAAGCAAATTTATCATTTCCAATTTACAAAGCAGAGAAGTTACATTTTTGTAGAAATCTATAATAAGTAAAAGGTTAATCCACAAGATGGATTGTTCCAATTCTGACAAATATATTGCTGCCCCAGCAGTGTTTGAAGCCTTGGATCTATGGTTTTGATAAATCTATAGGGAAGATAGAAGGGGAAAAACAAATTTCTAAAAGAAATAGTCAATTTTTAGAGTGTGGCCAGTCTAGGTACCAATACAGTATATGTATTGGGAAAAAGGTACAAAATGTGAAACTTTGTCCTCTATGATATCTAGACCTAAACATCACAACAATTCCAAAAACAGGAACAACTTGAATGAAAGGAGATTATATCATCTCAAAATGATGTTGAATAGGATTAGTTTAAAGAGGCAAGTTAAAACTGTTGTCAAACTGACTGAACATTGTTATAGGGTTCATGTGATAGCTGCAATTTTGGTTTACTCATCTAAAGTTAACAAGATATAGTTCCTTAAAGCAAGTTTGATCTAGTAAAGGTCATCATTCTGATTTAAATTAATATACTTAAGGTGATTCATAAAAAGTTTTAAATTCAGATAAGCCTGCTATTGCATGACCAAAATATTAAACAATAACACGGACACTTTTATTGGATAAAAATAAAAGAAAATTATCAAAAAGAGAAAATAGAAGGCAATGTACACCTGAAGCAAGCTTTGTGACACACACACATACAGAGAATCTCCACTCCACATCAAAGAACCTCAACTCTCAAACACAGACAATGCATCGACATCAAGAGCCTCTCATCTAAACATCCTACCATCTCTCTTGAATCTTATAAAGATAATGCATCCTCCAAGATAAGTTTGTTTAGACTAGACACTTGTAAGCCCATATCTTGTGCAGGTCTGAATCCCCCCCCCCCAGTCCTACCATTTCTACTGGAAGTGACAGGTTCTAGCTTCTGTTGCATCTGAAGCTTTGGAGTGTCTCCCTCCAAGGTAACAAACTATCAAAAGACTTGAGACCTAACTCTTGGCGCACTAATTCATCAAACAAGTTCAACATCAACTCCCAATCCCATTCCTCTAAATCAAACTCCTGATTTACACTCTCTCTCATTTCCTAACCTCACCACCACCCTCTACCCTAACAAGCCTTTTTAGTCAACAAGCTATTACTGGCACCTTGCATAATATCAGCATCACCTGGGCAAGTTGTTGGTGAGCACTTAAGATAAGTACCTGATTGAGAGAGGGTATTGGCTGAGGGAGAAGGTGAGGACTCAGGAACCATTTGAGAATTATCCAGTGATAGAAGGGAAGGAGACTCCTAGGTGTTTTCTAGTTATTTGTCGCTCTCATACACAGCATCGATATATGGCTATCATTCCACAAACATGGAATTGGAAGGGGCTTGTATCATGGTTTACCTTGGAGATGGATTTGGAAGGCCCGGATCCCTTCCAAAGTAACTTCTTTCATGTGGACTGCAACAGTGAACAAAATCTAACTCATCTTCTATCCAAAGGAATAGTCATGGATAATCTATGTTGCCTTTGTGGTCAAGATCAAGAATCAGTCTAGCATATATTAATCCTCTGCAACTTTACTTATGCTATCTGGATATACAGTCTGAAGCATTTGACTAGACAGTGGGTCGTTCCACAAAATCTTACTAGATTGATATCTTGCAGGGTTCTGTGGACATGGTAAAATAATGTAGAATCTGTTATTGTTTGTTCTGTGTTGAACCACCTAAAAGGAATTCAGGAGTATGATATTTGAAGGGAAACTTGCAACCAAGGAGATGATCATTGGGAAAGTAGAACAAACACTTGTGCAACAACTGATCATACTTAAGGCTGTGCTTGGGAAGAGTACAAATACAAAAATGATCAGTACAAATGGAAATATGTCTGGTTCAGAAAAATGCAAATATGTTTGGGAAAGTAGAACAAACACTTGTGCAACAATTGATCATACTTAAGGCTGTGTTTGGGAAGAGTACAAATACAAAAATGATCAGTACAGATGGAAATATGTCTGGTTCAGAAAAATGCAAAGTTGGTTTAGTTTTGTAATGATAATTTTGTATCCTTGCCAAATGATTTTTAGTTATGATAGATACAAACACGAATCCCGAGACTGGAATCCACCTTTTTTACATCGAACTTGAGTGCAAAAGCTTACATCCATTTTTTGGATGCAATTTTTCTCTCATTTGAATGCAAACATGTCTTGAAATCAGTGTTTTCCATCATTATCAACACACAAATACTCTTACCAAACACTTGCAAAACTGAATCAGAGTGCATATGTGCACTGAACCTGCAATTGCAAGCAGGGAATTATTGTATTTGTGCCGCAAACGTTATGGGCTTGTTTGTATTTTGGCTTTCAGTTCCAATTTGAGGGAACCTCTTCCTCTTGAGTTTTAATACAATTACCATTTGTCAATACAAATAATTATAACATCAAGAACAATGCACTCATCAAGAAACTAATACCAACTTCACAATTACTAGCACCAGCCTCCATGATTAACTAATTGTCCGAACTTCAGATATACTATTTTCATGTGATTTGGGAAGCAGTCCAAGTAGTATAACTTACCTCTGCACTCATTTGCTTTTTCTTTTCTTTTTCCCTTTGGTGCCATTCATAAATAGGTGTGAAATCACATAGCTCAAATTTCTTAATTACATGATTTTTCCCAAGTATCACTTTCCAATCATTCATGAAGTTCTCTACGAATTTCTGTTTGGTTGCATATTCTGTATCTTTCATCACTGCAAACATTGTTGCTACCTGCATATTTTTTTTTCGAGTGAAAGAAATAAATAATCAGCAGAAAAAAAGGAAAAGTCTGAGATAATCAAAACATGAATGCATATGACTGAAAAACACAGAAAGGTTGAGAAATGGAGAATCTTGAGCATCACCTCTTCCTGTTCAGGAGTCAAGTCAACAGGTTGCCCATTGTATAGCATCTTAACCCCATGGGGCTTGTATGGAGGAGGGAAAATAACACCATTGTGTTCCAAGGTAGTCCATTTCTGCCCTTCACCAGAGCTGGGCGGCACCTTTGTTGACTTGGAATATTTATCTTTCTTCAACTTTTTGCTTGTTTTCTTGAACGAGGAGGAAACAACTTTTGTGGTTGTTTTCTTTGTGGATGATGATTTATTATCTGAAGGAGCAGACTTTTTCAACCTCTGAGAAATAGGAATATTATCTTCATCATCCTCTTTTGGTTCTGATTTTATAGGTGCTTGCTTAACTTTGGCAGGAATAGACTCTGAAAGTTTCGGCTTTTTAACTAAAGATTGACCTGATGTATTGACATCACTCATAGGTCTCTTGTTCAAACTTTTGAGGGACTTTGACAATTCATTGTCCTTCTTGCTGGAACCATTTTGCTGAAACTTGAAAATCAAAGGTTTCTCTTCATCTGAATCATACTTCTTAACAGATGACCCAACATTCGTCTTCAGCTGAAATTTCGATGACAATGGAATTTCATCTTCTGAATCTGCAGAAGATTTCTTACAGGTTATCTTTGTCTTATCCATCTGCAATGAACTAGGAACAGGTGAACCATGACCCTTTGTACCAGGCTGTGACTTGATCTTTAGCGATGATCCAGAAGTTGCAAGTCTAAAACTTAGTGGCTTATCATCATCCGAATCATCAGGATCTTCTTTTGGCCCATTGCAAGGTTTATTCAACTGCTGCTTCTGCATATTATTAATAGCCAAATTCTTTTGTGGAGAACATCTTGATTTATCAGCTATTGAAGTTGATGCATTTGAACTTGCTGCAGTTGGCTTCCCTGCCGATGTCTTTGAAACTGCTTTACCCTTTTGTAAGCTTGAGTTTTGACCATTTGGAGATAATGAACCAGAGACATGCTTTCCAGATGATCCATCATTTCTTTGAGATGACGCCTTCTTTAACTCTGAGTTTACTTGGTTTTTCCTGGATGCTGTGTTGTTCCTTTTGAAAACAGCAGGTCCCTCATCATCATCGTCATCATCAATAATTTTAGGTTTTATGCAAGCATCAACAGCCATTGTACCACTTTGCAGTATGTTGGCATTTATGTCATATCATTTTCTGCATATAGTAAAATTCCAAAATCCAATGACCATTAAATGACAAAAAATTATAAATGAGTTATAGAATCCATCTAGATTCTAGCTACTGAAAAAAACTATTAGAAATGTAATATAATATATATAATAATCAACCAAAAAAATGTTACTGGCTACAATTTGACAGATCAGCAAAAGAAGCTGTTCACAGGATGTTAATGCCAAAGAACTTGATGATGGTATAACTGGGAGCATATTCAATATTTAATTTAGTGCTAAAGCTGAACACTAGAAGGCAAACTTGCAAAGATATCTACAGCAATGTTTTAAAGCACAGAAAAGTGACACAAGGCATTCTAATAGCTGGAGACATGAGGCATAGCTCAGAATGCAAAATGTGTAAGAATCCAGAGAATAAGGAGGTGTGCATGAGGCACAAGTCTTTCTTTCTTTTCGTATGAGGCAGATGCCTCTAGTACACCACATGCAGAAGGCGTTTGTTGCATATGCCTCGGAGGCATCAATGCCTCCAGAATGCACCTCAGGTCATTTTGAGGGTGCCTCGCCTGGAAGGGCACCAGGCACCTCCCACACCTTTTAACACATTGATCTACATAATGCAACCACTGTTCATATTAAAGAGTTTATGAAATATATTCATTCAGCCATTCTTAAAAATTGATTGTGATTTAGATCATTCAGGGCCATTTCATAATGCCTGAAAATGGCTGAACTGAATAACTTGTTGCTTTGTCTTTTTAGTGAATAAATCATTAAGTGGGTAGTGAGCTACTTAAGGGTCAAATGGAACTTTGGGTTGATTACTATGTTCTAATTATTTTATTTATGTAACTATTGTATCCACTAAAAGAAAAGGCAATAAGCATTTAGTTTAGCTACTTCTGCCATCAAATAGTCCCTCAGACGAATAAACAACAACCAAACTCTAAGTTTGTACATCACATACCAAGAATTGAATTTCACCAGGGTTTTTGAGAGTTGGGACACATGTACACATTGGAAATTAACAAATTTTTCCTAGCTATCCAATGCCTGGTGAGTTGATAGTTTGATACTGAAAACAGCCCAATTGGGTAAATGACAATAAATATTTCAGCAATTTTCAAATTGCAAGAGACCAACCAAAATGACCCTCAATAGAAAACATATCCAGAATACCAACGTTTTGGGACTTTTGGATAATGTTTAAGGCAAAAACTCAAGTGCCCGACATGGCAACATCCTCACAAAATATTAGGTTTCTCAAAAGCCCATATGCCTTTATCTTAATGAACAAAGAATCTGTATTGCATTTATGACACTAGGATATTAATAAGACTTCCTAACAAATCTGATAGAAAAGATTTCTATTCCATAAAGCACATGGAAAGTTTTCTACGGTGAATATTCTGCAGTTCATATTCACCAAGTTCTTCATAATTCTGGTTAAGCAGAACGCCCATGCAACAGACAAGGAGATATTCTTCTTCTAACCCATTTGTCATTGCAGGGAGGGAGGTTCAAGAGGATTTTCAGTTTCTCTCAATATGACCATTTTCTTAAGGAGAATATAAGCCACAAATTCTTTTACTTTTATCACTGAGGCCCCAAGATCTCACTGGGTGCAAATAGATATGGGCATATAAAGCGTTTACTTGTTTCTATGAATGCAATTTGAAAAGAAAAAAGACAAATAGGACAATGTTTAATCTCTAAAACCATTAGAAACCCAACGAAATAGGCACAAAAAGGGAACCAAAGCACAGCAGAAACTCAGAACATAAGCACACCAGATAATCCCGAAAAAGTCTTTCAATAAATACAATAAAGAGCAAAAAGAAAAAAAAAAAAAAAAAACTAGAAAACGGTATCCACTAAAATAACAGCCATGAGGCGATGTGCAATTTTAGGCAGCTTACCACATATAACCGAGTTACACTGAAAAGCAAACTCTCTGCAGTGAAGAGAAGAGACCTGCAAAATAGATAATAGAAGCTGAACTGAGCTCAGAAAAAAGCTAAAAAACAAAACTAAAACAAACAAACCACCACAACCCCATACAAAACTAAAATGAAGCAAAATAAAAAAAAAAAATATTTATGTACGTAACCGAAATCTTAAATCTTAAAAAAAATTAACAAATAAAACTGCAATATAATAATAAATAAAACCAGTCCAGAAAGCAAGAAAAAAACACAAGAAGCTAGAGAAATCGATAAATCTTATTACTGTCGATCTCATTTTCGACCAACCTTCCTGTGTCCTTTGAAAACCACGACAGGTCCGGAAAAAAAAGGTAGGGTAAGAGATCTTCGTTCTGTATAGATTTAGGGTTTGATTTCTGTGTCCCCTCAGACTACAAAACTATTTAAATTATTATCGCACAAGCAGAAACTCAAATGCAAAGAAATTTTCACCTTTTTTTCACCGGTTTTTACTTTTGGAGGTCGGTTTTCTATCTTCTCCTCTTCTACTGCTTCACTTCTCCTTTCGATTTCTTTCTCTCTCTCCCTCTCCCTCCTCTCCTCTCCCTCTCTCTTTCTCTCTCTCTTTCTCGTCTTTCTGCCAACGGAGGTATGTATATCTTTATAAATATAAAATTACCAAAGTATCCATACAATTTCATTAAATTTATAAACATATACCCGACAAAAAAGAAATGTTTGGTTTTTCACGTGCAATGGGCTAAAAGCCGCTAATAAACGGTAGACCGCTGGGTTTTGAAAGAACCCTCCAGTCGCTTAAGCTCATGGGGTTTGGAACGTATGCCACACGTTACCGGCTTTCCCTAGCGCACACGCTAAGACCAAGCCGCTCATACAAACAACAACAACAACAAGTGTTAAAACCCGAACCGGATGACAACCCGTTTGGGTTTGGCTATGGATTTCCCTCTTCAGTCAATCGCCTCGCGCCACCAGAATGGCAGCAGGTCGTCGCTGACTCGCTGTCCTGTTGAATGCTTTTAGTAACCAAGAGTGTCAACGGACTGGATCGGGTCAATGTCTACCTAGGCCCTATCAGATATATATTGATTCGGGTATTGACGTTGGAGGAGGTTAAAACGTCAACACATGGACCTTCCATGTGATCCGCATGTATAACCCAGTAAAAGTAGGTCTGAAATTTGGGCGAGCCCAACCCAAGCCCTTTTAGACGGGTTGGGCTTTGAATTTTATCCTCGAGTTATGTTTGGGTTCAGTTGTTTTTATTTTTTGGATTGGGTCCGGACTTTATTCTTAAGTATTTCAAATTCGTTTTAAATCCGGCCCAATTATACATATATATACTTATAAATATATATATATACTTATAAATGTATATATATATATGTATAATTTTAGAGTGGATTTATTAATCAAACTGAACTCAATCCAAATCTGAACTTAAACTCAACATAAACACTTCAAATTATAATGCAGGTTGTGCTCAGATTAGAAAGATTGGGTTTGATTTCGGGCTTTTTCCAAGTTCCTAAATTGACTGTAAACCTAGTCCAATCCACCCAATTTGCTCTCTTAGTGAAATTTGGGAAAATATACACCACGGTTTTGTAAATATTTGGCAGAATTGGAAATCTGCATCGATGATGAGCGCAAATGTACATTTAAGGGGACTTTATTGAAAAAGAGTACAAAATTTGCTTTGGGAAAAAAAGTAAACGAAGCAACCATTTGCTCTCTTTGATGGTTGATGTCAACAGAAGGGTCATTTATTATTCGTCAAAACACCTATTGGTGGGAAGGATCACCGATGATATTCCATCACTCTCCATGGAATGCGATGCTATGCACGTGGGTACTTACAAGTGGAACTATGAATTCATCTAACCGGTAAGCTAAAAATCTCAATTGAACAACCGGTTTTTGGGCCAAATCGAAGATATGTATTTTGAAGCCCGGGTCTTGTACATGGCATTGTACGTACAATCGGATAAATACCGGAAAGACATGGTATCAAGAAGAATTTTGACCAATTAAAGTATCTCGTGAATTTTGATGAACCCTCTGATTGGGCATCTTTTCTATGATTATGGGTTGATTGGTTGTAAGTTTTTTTGGTATCTTAATCGAATCCTTAAAGGGAAAATCGATTTAAAATGATTAATTAACAAAATGTTTTAATTACATTTTTTTGCTATTCAATATTTTTAAAAGATTTGATTAAAATCAAACATTCTTTAGCTACCAAATACACGGCGGGGATGTACTGTGGGATGTTGTGGGGGCCAATCCGGCAATCTTGTGGGGGGTTGATTTGAACTCGACTTTTACACTCTTACCAAATGCAACCTTATATTCTATTGCATGTTTATAATTGTTGTGAAATAGAGAATAGGAATTTGATTTTCCCTCTCTTGAACTTCTACACAATTGGTATAAGAGCACGTGTTATGCATGTGCACAAGTATTAATCATATATGGTATGGTATTTGGATTTAACTTTTTTGACGTGCACTGAAATCAATGCAAATATCTACTTCATATGTGATAATGCACGATCCGGTCGGTCCTAACTATCGGTAACCTTGCCTCTGATGGAGCAGGAGATGCCTGAAACAGGGAGGAAACAAGAGATTCCGAGGGAAGAACCCGGTGGAAATGCTTCGATGCTCAAGTTAGTACTCTTGAGAAGGCAAGGAGAATGAGAGATTCTGAGACCATAAGGCACAAAAATATCACTTACCTTTACTCTCGGGGAAGAGGGCCTTTTATAACCACCCTGGTGCACTCACTCCCAAGCCTCTGCTAGATCAGGTATAACCGCCTCTGTGGGGGGCAAGCATAACCGCCACTGTCTTCTCTGTCAAGGCCGTCTCTGCAACAACTGAAATGGCGGTAACAGGTGGCCGTTGGAGTGCAGTTGTCATTTGTCAAATCCCTGATCAGTTAGGCGCGTTGCCTCAGAGTACGGGCTTCTTTGTCAGGTACGGTTTATTCATTCACGCGACCTGGAGCCGAGGTGTCGGAGTGGTGCACGAGATGAAGTCTTGAGTCCAGATAGGAGTGTGGCCCGGACTGTCCCGAGGTGCCGGGGTGTGGCCCAGACTGACCCGAGGTGGGTTAGTCCGGGCTTCGCCCTTTTGCGGGGTTCCTTGCAAGGCCCGGGACTTCTAGGGAGAGCTCGGGTTCCACCTCTTGTGAAGCGTGGGTTCCTTTCGGGGAGCTCAGAGGCCTCTCCTTGGGGAGCTCGGGCTTCTTTTTGGGATATGGTTATGTCGCTGTGCCGAGCTGACGCTCCTGCCAGGTCAAACCCGATTGCTTACACGTGTCGCACAGCCAAGGGGTTGGGCCAAATCTACCTCCATCAATTGTCCCCCACTCCCCGTGCCCGGGGTCTTGACCCGGCATGGGGAGTTCACGGACTGACGGGTGGATTTGTCCCGTGGCGTGCTTCGTCCAGTTCGGAGATTCTCCGGTCTGACCCGCCTATTCTCTTGGCTCGACCAGGGTCAGCTCGGCTCAACTAAAGGTCAACCTGGGTCGCGTACAGCTCACGCGCAGACGTCAAATGATTATCAGTTTTCGGACGTCAAAAGTTCACGCTAAACTGATTTCACCTCGGGGGTTGTGCAGCCGGTTTTCCTGAGAGCTGTTGGAGGGCTTGGATCTTGACCGTTGATGCACGGGCATAGCGGCTATAAATAGTGGGGGCCCTGGTCACTTTTCCTTTGCCAGTATTCAGTGCTTGTTTCTTGAGCTCGCGTCCAAGGTTTTCAGCTCGCGTCACTTTTCCTAGTTCGGTATCTTTTCCTTGGTGAGTCCCCTTAGCTTCTTTTAATTTCCTTTCCTTTTCAATGTCTAGTTCGGGTAGCTTAGATAGTCTTTTAGGAGGGCCTGAGGTGGAGACTTCGGGTCAGGTTGCCTCTTTCGACAACCTTCTGGATGAGCCGGAGGTAGGGCCTTCAATCCGGGTCACCTCTGGCAGCCTGGAATCCACTTCTCGTCGAGTTCGGATGCCAAATAAGTTCAGACCCTCCACTATGATGTCTGAGGGACTTCGGTCTCTTGTTCGTCAGTTCAACCTGCCCGGGGAGTATACTTATAGCTTACCTACGGGCGACTTCCCTTGGGATCACGGTCCAGATGAGATTGTGATTTTCCGGGAGCAGCTCATTGTCGGGTTGTGCCTTCCTTTTCATCCCCTAATCATCGAAGTCTTGAATCACTACGGCGTCACCGTTGGTCAGCTCCACCCAAACTCCATCCGCAATGTCGTTGGAACCATCTCCCTCTGTTGCGAACACGTCATTCCTCTAGACTTAGAAATTTTTTCCGCCCTTCTTATGCTTAAGAAGCAAGCGAGCTTCCTCCCCGAGCACAGGCGGGCCTATTACCTGTCTCCCCGCCCGGGATTTAAACTTCTACACAAGCTTCCAAGTAAGGTCACGACGTGGAAGCGAGACTACTTCGTGGTACAAAGTGCTACGGGGTGGCCATTTCCCACTCATTGGAAGGCGCCCATTCCTGACCCTGTTGTCATGTTAGATAAAGACATGGCGGAGACCTTCCAGTCTTGGGCCCAGGTCGGGCTCGAGTGCGGAGATTATCTTACGGAGGCACGGCTTATTCAGGCTGATCTGAGTCCGGGTAGGTTTCTTTACTCAGGTTTTTTTTTTACTGATGTCGAGCTCTTTTTGCAGGTGTCATGGAGGCGGAGAAGACCCGCGGTGTCAACTTGCTTGATGGAATGAAGAGAAGGAAGCGGGCTCACATCGAGTCTCCTCGGGCTGTGGAGCCCGAAGTCCCAAGCTATCCTCCAGTCATCAACCTGGAGTCTCCAAGGGAGCCCGAGGTGGCCGAGCCTATCCCGGAGGTCGCGGCGGAGCCCGAGGTCGCGGAAGCTCGGGAGGTCGATACCACGGAAGCTTCCCATACCCAGACAATACTCTCTAGTTCGGGGAGCCAGGAGGGGGCTGGTAGCATGCTGACTTCGAGCTGTGCTCTCCACAAGAGCAAGAAGGCCGTCTATCCTGTGGAGGTTTCGGCATGGGCTGACTCCGAGCTGTGCTCTCCGAAGTGGTCTCCCTTGTCTTTTATGCTGTATTATTTTCTTCTCGCCGGGCTGACTTGTTTCTCACTTGGCAGGTGAACTCCTCTATCCATGCCCTAATTCTTCAATCAGAGAGGAGTTTGAAGCGGGCACAGGTTGCCGAAGAGCTTCCCATGCAGCGCATGCTGAACTGAGGGCAGCTCGGGAGCGGATCCATTGTCTTGAGGGCGACACTTCGGCTCAGAAGAATGAGTTGGAGAGGTTCCGGAGAGAGAACGGCGCCTTGAGGCTCGTTGTAAAGCACCTCGCAACCTCAAAAGGGGCCTTGGAGCACAAGGTGGAATACCTCAAGGCCGATATCAAGGAGAAGTTTGAGATCTTCTTCCAGGTCGTCGATGATTACATCGCGTCGGAGCGCTTCGACGACCTGATGGTGGGCTCGTATCAAAGGGGTTTCAAACTGAGTCGGTGGATGATAAGGCATGTGTACCCCAAACTCGACACCCGTGCCATAACCACTTCGCGTATCACTCCGAAGATGGCTCTCGCAGCTAACAAT